GAATGGAAAAAAATAACAAAATTTGTCATACAACTTCAAAAGCATTCTTACATACAAGAGTTGCAATACTAATGGATTCAGGGAGGAAATTCTATTTATTTATTTATTTATTTTTATATATGAAATTTGTCACTGCCCATCTCGCTGTGGGGTGACTCTGGGCGGTTAAAAAATTTTTTTTTTTAAAAAGTTAAAAATTAAAAAATTTTAAAGTTAAAAACGTTCAAAAAATTATTTTTTTAAAAAATGTTTTATTTATTTATTTATTTTGTTCAATGTAGGTGCCACTAGAAAGAGTCCAAACCAACTCTTGGCAGCTCACAATATCATAAGCAATAAAAACACAATGCAAGACAAAACAGGATGGGATCTGGTTGCTCAAGTCCACAACAGACCAAATCCAACAAGGGGTGCCATCCACCTTAAGCCAAGGCCTGGGAGAACAACCAGGTCTTCAAGGCCTTATGGAACATCAACAGGGTGAGAGCCACACAGGAGGAACCTCATTCCAGAGGGTGGGCACTGTGACAGAGAAGGCACGCTTCCTGGGTCCTGACAGATGGGACTGTTTTGTTGAAGGAATCCAAAGTGTGCCGACGTTTACAAGGAAACTACAGTTAACAAAACTGTTTGCTAAAAAGTATAACATTGAGAAAAATAGTATAGAGATGGAGAATTAGCATCAGTAGAACAAAGGGCTACACAAGGGATCAACCTTTGCAGTACCACGACCATGACCCTAGTCTTGCTGGGCTTTTTCTGCCAGGCAGCCTGAAGGAAATAGGCTCCTAGAGTTGGAAAGGGCCATTTAGGCCAACCTCTTACTTACTACAAGAATCAAAACTAAAATATCCCTGGCAAATCTTTATTCAGCTTCTGCTTGAAGACATCCAGAATATTACTCATTCCACTGGCCCAACTGTTTCTATTGTTAGGAATTTTTTCCTAACATTTAACTGGAATCTTCTCTCTGTATAACTTAAGACCAATTTTCTGCATCTGGCAGACTGGGGAGATAGAGAACAGGTCTTGGTGTTCTGCTGTATGATATCTCTGGATATTTTCAGAAGTGTTATTATATCCCATCTCTGTCTTCTCTTCTTGAGGCTAAATGAACCCAGTTCCTTTCATTCCTTGTCTTAAAACTTAGTTTCCAGATTCTTTATCACCTTGTTACATTTCTCTGAATCTGCTCTAGAACTGAACATAATAAATAACATAAGCCTAATAAGTAGAATCCTATCTATCCCAAAGGAACTAGATGTATTACTTTCTCTGTGTTAGAAACCATGCTTTCATTAATGCAGCCTAAAATGATCATTTGGCCTTTTTTGCAGCTATATCACACTGATGAATGTCCATTTGCAATTAACTAGCCTTTCAAGATCCTTTTCACATGTATTGTACAACCTAGGTCATCTCATCTTATATATCTTGCATTTAATTTCTGTTTCCCACAAGAAGAACTTTGCACTTATTTTCTCTAAATTATGTTATCTATATTTTCAGCCTACTTTTCTAGCCTATTAATATCGTTTTGATTTTTAAAATGTCTTCCACTGTATTAGCTAGAGGTGTCACCTGTAAACGTGATGTTCTGCCCTCTTCTTTGCCTAGGTCATTAATAAGAAGTATTGAAAAGTACCAGATCCCAAACCAAGCCTGCAGCATCCCACTTAATAAAAGCTGTAAGTCATTTAAAGGCTCTTGATCCAGTAGTATCTTTACCAGCATTCACATATTTTATTTATTTATTGTTTCATTTCAGTGTATATGGCCGCCTGCCTTAAATTCATGACTGGGTGGCTAGCAACAATTAAAAACCATATAAAATATTTAATAATATAATATAATTTATTAATATAATATTTATTTAATATCTTATTCACGTTGGATGGAAAAGTGTTGCTGAGTCCACTCTGAGTTTGGTTTCGAAACCAGTTGTAAATTCACCTAATAGACAAGCCATCCAGCCAGTGTTCAATTAGTTTCCTGATCAAAACATTATGGGATATTTATCAAAAATTTTGCTGAAAACAAGATATATCCATAGTATTCCCCAAAAAACATTAAGAAAATTATCTACTTAAAAATGAATTAAAATTAATCTGATAAAATATTCTTGGCAAATCCAAGGTGATGCTTAGTAATCACCATGCTGTTTTCTAGAAGCTTAGTGAGCAATCTCTGTTTATTATTGGCCTCAGCTTCCTCTTCTATTTAGCTGTGCTGGAAAATTGTGCACAACATTGGCTGATGTTCCTTGAAAATTAACAGCTATATATATAATTATGATTCTAACAGTGAATCATTGATAAGTCCTAACTCACGTAGGACATGCTAGAAAATATCAATATTGCTATTTTCACTTGCCTTTGTTATAGCTAAATTAAGCTTAGAAGAACAGGTAGACAGTACTTGCGACCACAAACATCACTACACATTTGTCAGATTTGATTGATTATGTGCCATCAAGTTGGTGTTGACTCTTAGTGACCACATAAATAGATTTTCTGCATGACAATCTGCCCCTAACCTGGTCCCTCAGGTCTTCCAATAGTGCACCAATTGCCACTGTAACTGAGTCCATCCACCTTGCTGCTCTCATCCTCTTCTCTTTCCTTCCTCCTTACCCAGCATTAGAGCCTTTTCCAGAGAGCTGGGTCTTCACATAATGTGTCTGAAATAAGATAATTTGAGCCTGGTCATTTGTGCCTTAAGTGAGAATTCTAGATTGATTTGTTTACTTAGCTGGCCATGGTATTTTCACGAGTCTTCTCCAACACTAAAGTTGAAAAGTGTCAATACTCTTCCTATCCTGCTTCTTCAAAGTCCAACTTTTACTTGCATAGAGTGTCATAAGGAATACTAGTGCTTGCACAGTTCTGATCTTTATAGGTATAGACACTTCATAGTATCTGAATATCTTTTCCAAGGCCTTCATGGCTATTCTGTCAAGTGCTACTTTATGGGATGTTTTTTGGCTGCCTGTTCCTTTACTGTTGATGATCTTAAAGGGCAGAAGCTATCCACCACTTCAATATGTTCATTGTCAATTCTTAGGCCGCTTGCTGTACCTGTTGTCATTAGTTTGGTCTTCTTTATATTTAATTTTAGTCCTCCTTCTGACCTCGGAGTTCTTTGGAAAGATTGTCCTTGTTTTTCTATGCTCGTTTTCATCTTAAGTGTCTTTAGAGGTGTAATTCTAATACTGCTTCTTGTCTCTTCTAAAAGCTCTCTGAAAACCTTTGTTAAGTCTCTTCCTGAAATCTTTCTCTTTCTTGGTTTTG